TTTTTTTGAATGTCCAGAGGACCAGATTTAACTTTTTTAGATTTTTCTACCTGGATTATTGAGCATGCATCAGGATATGATTTCTGTTAGTTTTGTTACAGCTATATCCTGCCAGATTTTTTTTCCCCTACCAGTTTCTGCAGCATCTTATGTTTGCAAGTTTTTAATATTTATATTTTCATCATCTTAACTGACCGCTAGTGACTGTGTTAGGATTTTAATACAATGTGGCAGCAGTTAAATAATAGCTCCATCCAAGTGTGTTGTTGTTAATTGTCTAAACAAATAATTCAGCCTCAAAACTATGTTAAATCTACACAAACATTAAACTGCTTATTGGCTTACTAAAACAGTATAGCCCAAAATTCCTATTTTAATTTGTCACACAACATGACTTCAGTCATAAATCAGCTGGAGGAACAGAATGACCTTCTCATTTGAAGAATTGTACTTAAAATGAGAAGAAACTTGCCATAAATTGTCCAGAAAAGGTGTATTTTACAAATAATACATCATGTGCTTTTAAAAGGTTCTGTCACCAAAATTTCTGTATCATTTTGGTAAAAATATAAAGAGGAACAGTACTTTTAAATATTTATCTAAAGTGATACTTCAGGTCTTTTCAACTGAACTTACGTAAATGTATTTGCTTTTGAAATCTCAGCAATCTCAGCCTAACCTTCCCTTAATTCTGAATTGTTCAAAACCAAATTCTGTTTACTTAAAATGGCTAATCTGAGAGGGTCCAAAAAACCATAATGATTTGCTGCAGTCTTAAAACAACTACAGTCTCAAAAATGTCATAGTTCATGCAAACACTATTTTATAAATCTTCACACTGCTGCCAGTTTTGAAAAACATAGTAATTCAAACATGACGATAGCATTCTCAGTGGAAGTGGCTCAGATGACATGGACAGATGGAAATGCCTTGAATTGCTACAGAAAACTGCTGCTGTTGACACTTGTGCTTGCAAATAATAAACATAGAATTCTGAGTAAATAACTGTGTAATGCAAAGCTCACTGTTTTGACTGAAGGATCAGCCAGGTCTAGCCTGAAAAATGCAGCACGTTATCTTCATGTCAACCCACCACCTGTGAGATGACTAGTTAGGGTTTAGTGCAGGGTGAGTTGGGTGCCAATTAAGAGTGGGGGGCTGTGATATACAACCTTTAGGTGCTCTGCCTTTTTAAACAACAGACCCAAAAATGAAGTCACACTAAGTATGCTGAGCATTTTTTTTATTTTACTTTAAAATTTAAATGTTAATATTTCTACTATGTTTTCTGTTTAGTATTGAGATACTCAAGTTTTAAGAACATGATTGCAGTAATAATGTTTTATTGCAGAGATGATTCAGTCACCTGCAGGGGAATTATTTTGTGGTGGCGTAAATTTATCAGTAGTGAAATCCACTATCAGCCTTTAAGTAGGGGCAATATACTTACTACAATCTCTCAATCAGATGTACTGAGGGCTGTAATTGTGTGTTAACTAATGCATTATCTGCAACCTCTGGTTGCTAAAATAGATTTAAAACCTGTGCTTAAGGTCATGTATGCTGATACAGTATGCTTTTTAGTCACTTAGTTTGAAGCCTAAACATCTTCCCATCTTCCCATCTTCCCATCTGACATAACATTTTTAGATTTTTCTACCTGGATTAATGAGCATGCATCAGGATACCTAAACAGCTTCTTAAATGTTGGCTGGATGCCAAACAAAAGGGGTCAGAAGGGACCTTAAGGTCATTGCCCAGTGATGCTTTCTTAAAGTCAATTATCAGTCAGACTTGAGCCGTTCACTTCCCCACAATCCACCCCTAATCTAATTTTCTTAATTTGAGGTTAACTCTGACCAGGTATAAAACAGCTACATCAACATTAACTATGAACATAGAGTTGGCTTTTGATGCTCTGACACTGTTGGTATTTCTTCAATAACTGAGATTCCAGGACGAAGGCAACTAAAGATGGGTTGGGATGGAGACTATCAGGCCAATGGCACTGAGGGCAACAACTTCTACATCCCCATGTCCAACAGGACTGGAATAGTTAGAAGCCCTTTTGAATACCCTCAGTACTATATGGTGGATTCAATGGTCTACAAGTTTCTAGCTTGCTACATGTTCTTCTTGATTTGCACTGGGACTCCCATCAATGGCCTGACATTGTTTGTAACAGCTCAAAACAAGAAGCTCCATCAGCCTCTCAACTACATCCTGGTGAACCTGGCTGTAGCCGGACTCATCATGTGCCTCTTTGGCTTCACCATCACTATCGTATCTGCTTTTAATGGTTATTTCTTTCTTGGACCCACTACATGCGCTATTGAAGGATTCATGGCCACACTTGGAGGTAAGACAAAAGAAGCAAGATGATTCAGATAAATAAACCATTGCTTAGGAATTACAGTGTTATTAATATTATTTTTTTATGTGTACAATTAACAGCAGTAAAAGTAAAGCGTGTCTTTGTTTTCCATCTCTGCAGGGGAAATTTCCCTCTGGTCCCTGGTTGTTCTGGCTGTTGAAAGGTATATTGTTGTGTGCAAACCCATGGGGAGCTTCAAATTCTCCGGAACCCATGCTGGAGCTGGAGTCCTTTTCACCTGGTTCATGGCTCTTGCTTGTGCTGCACCCCCACTTTTTGGGTGGTCCAGGTAAAATCCTATATTTTTAAATCAAACATTTCTTAAAGGGACTTCAAACCATTCAGTAAAATCTCTAGATAAGGGGTTTCTAATGTTGGGGTCAAAATGCCACTGTGAGTCATGAAACATTTAATAAGGGTCCCCAAAAAGTCTACATAAAACAAGTTTAAAATAACAGGATTGGAAACTGTCCGTGTTCTGCTATAATTAATACAAGAAAATAAATTAAATGACCCCAAATGAATAAAAATATAATATATTGTGGTAAGGTCTGTTTGGATTCTCATTATGCCCTTGTTTAAACAGTTATCAGCAATGTTTTTATTCAGAGAGATTCAGAGATTCAGAGAGATGTATGTGTCATACACACCACATGTGGTACATGAGGTGGAACAAAACTATGTACACAGGGTCCCAGTTACATCCAACAAAAACACAAATTGTAAAGATAAACATTAGTAAGATCCAATTCAATTCAATTCAATTAAAAAATACTTTATTAATCCCAAAGGGAAATTAATTGTTGTTGTAGCTCATCTTGGTTTCATTAGAGTTGTTATAGATGCTGATGGCTTTGGGTAGGAAGGATCTCTTGTAGCAGTCCATCCCACAGCGAACTTAACTGCCGGTGTTGGGGGACGATCTTGGTCCTCCCACTGTCACGAGCCGCCTTTCCCGCCACCTCCAAGATCTCAGCGGTCAGGCACTCGAGCACTGCCTCCAGGTAGACAAGAATGCATCCACAGCATCTCCTTTTCAACTCCTTTGGGATTTGGGGCTGTAGTTGAGGTATTATTTGAGCTTTTAATATGTTAATCAGCAGCTCCCAGTAGTAGAAAACCACCTTGTTGTTATGGTTACGCATCATAACAAATGTCCAAAAGTAAAAAAGTTTCAGTAAAAATCCTTCCAGCAGCACAACATCTGATACCAGAGGAAGTAATTGTCCGAAAAAAATCAATTTACATCCAGAAAAAAAAAGAGTAATTAAAGTTTTCAAAAGCAAAATCTCAGAATGAATGTAAGAGAGCTACTCCAACATGCAGCAACCTTGAGCGTCGCAATTCTGGAATTCTGGATCATCCAAGTCATCCAAGATCCAAGTCATGAACTAAGAATACACAAGACCAAGAATACACTAAGCACTAATAGTACAAAAACAATGCGCCAAAACAACAGCAGCATAAGATCAGCATCATGGATAGTCAGCAGCACACAAGTATTAAGAACCAACTGACATTACAGTGATTTTAACTTTTTTTTCACAGTGATTTTTCACAGTAATTTTCACTGTGATTTTTCCTGGTTAGAGATTCTAGTCTAACAGCCTCAGGGAAGAAGCTGTTCCTCAGCCTGGTGGTTCTGCACTTAATGCTCCTCAGCCTTCTGCCTGAGGGGAGCAGGGCAAAAAGTGTGTGTTCTGGGTGAGTGAGGTCCTTCATGATGCAGGTGGCCCTCTTCCTGCATCTGGAGGTGTAGATGTCTGTGATGGTGGAGAGGCTGACTCCAACAGACTTCTGTGCAGCCTTCTCCACTCTCTGCAAAGCTTTTCTTTCTGCAGCTGTGCAGCCTCCATGCCACACATTGATGCTGGAGCCCAGGATGCTCTCCACTGCACACCTGTAGAAGGAGGGGAGGATTGAGCTTCCCAGTCCAGCTTGCCTCAGCTGCCTTAGGCTGGTCCTCAACCATTTGCGCCACCTGGTGAGGTCTTCGTTAGATCGGTTACAGTTTGCCTACCAGCCTGGCATCAGGGTGGATGATGCCATCATCTGCCTCAGGCACCAAGCTCTGACCCACCTGGAGAAACCTGGAAGCACCGTGAAGATCATGTTTTTTGATTTCTCTAGTGCTTTCAACACCATCCAGCCAGGACTTCTGTGGGACAAGCTGGAGTTATCAGGAGTGGATCACCACATGTCCCAGTGGATATTGGATTACCTCACTGGAAGCCCACAGTATGTGAAGACACAGTGCTGTGTCTCTGACAGGCTGGTCTGCAGTAGGGGGGTCCCACAGGGAACTGTGCTGGCACCATTCCTCTTCACTCTCTACACTGCAGACTTCACCATCAACTCCACACACTGCCATCTGCAAAAGTTTTCTGATGACTTTGCTATAGTCGGCCTCATCACAGGTGAGGACAACTCAGAGTACAGACAGCGGACTCAACACTTTGTGGACTGGTGCCAGCAGAACCACCTCCTGATCAACGCTGCTAAAACTAAGGAGCTGGTGGTGGATTTCCGCAGGCACAGACTCACCTCACTGACCTCAGTGAACATCCAGGGAGTGGACATCGAGATTGTGGACTCTTATAAATACCTGGGTGTTCACCTGAACAATTAACTGGACTGGTCTCACAACACTGATGCACTTTACATGAAGGGTCAGAGCAGACTCTACCTGCTGAGGAGACTGAGGTCTTTTGGAGTGCAGGGGGTGCTCCTGAAGATTCTTTGAGTCGGTAGTGGCATCAGCCATCTTCTATGGTGTTGTCTGTTGGAGCGGCAGCTTATCATCAGCTGAGAAGAAGCAGCTAGATAAGCTCATCAAGAAGGCCAGCTCAGTGCTTGGATGCCCCCTCGACCCAGTGCAGGTGGTGGGAGACAGAAGGACTCTAGCTAAAATAACATCATTGCTGAACAACATCTCCCACCCCATGCATGAAGATGTTGCTGAACTGGACAGCTCATTCAGTGACAGATTACTGCATCCTAAATGCACAAAAGAGCATTACCGCAGGTCCTTCCTCCCAGCAGCTGTTAGACTCTACAACCATCACTGCTCCCAGCAAACTCAATACACGCTGACCTCTGCTAAAACACACACACTCTGCCTATAATTCTGTATTGTAAATAGGCTGTCCTTTATCAATGTTCCAAAACATATTGATATTGTTTATCTTATTTCTTTATATTTTGTTTTTACCATTTAGGAACTTTTGTGTGATATCTTTTTATCTGTCGTTGCTGTTGCTGCTGTTACACTTGAATTTCCCATCTGTGGGACAATAAAGGCTGTTTATATTTCTATCTATTTCTATTTCTATTAAACCTATATAGTATGGTGTCACAAGCCTCTTCCATAAATATTTTGTGTGTTAGAATCTGATAAGTAGATTTCTGTAGACTAAAAATAACAACATATTTTCAAGATGAATATGGTAATCCTTGATTTCTTAGAAAAAATAATTGATTACTTTAAATCTTTTACAGGTACATTCCTGAGGGTATGCAGTGTTCCTGTGGACCTGATTATTACACCTTAGCTCCAGGCTTCAACAACGAGTCGTACGTCATCTACATGTTTGTCGTTCACTTCTTCACTCCTGTCTCCCTGATTTTCTTCACTTATGGAAGCCTTGTTTTGACAGTAAAAGCTGTAAGTAGGGTTATCAACCTGTGTGTCTGAGTGAATTTAGCTCTTCTTGTTTGACATCTTACCTAACTAAACTCCACAGGCGGCAGCCCAGCAGCAGGACTCAGCATCTACCCAGAAAGCTGAGAAGGAAGTAACACGTATGTGCGTCCTGATGGTCCTGGGCTTCCTGGTAGCGTGGACTCCATATGCTACCTTTGCTGGCTGGATCTTTTTGAATAAAGGAGCTACTTTCACTGCCTTGACTGCTTCTATCCCTGCTTTCTTTGCAAAGAGCTCTGCACTGTATAACCCTGTCATCTATGTGCTTATGAACAAACAGGTTAGCCTACTTTACAGATTTCTCTATACAGTATGTCAAAATGTATGTGAGATGTCCTAAAGTGCTTTCCTTGCTTTGTTTTTCAGTTCCGTACCTGCATGCTAACCACTGTTGGAATGGGCGGCATGGTGGAGGACGAGACCTCAGTTTCAGCAAGCAAGACAGAAGTCTCAACCGCTGCTTAAGGATTATGTGTCTTAACCAGGACGTCTTCTTCACTTTTATGGACATTCCTCAATGATTGGTTTCAGATTTGAAATGAGCACACTCAAAGAGTCTGGAACTTTGCCAAATGTATTCATGGACTCAACAGCTCTGCAAAGGAATTCTATCTCCCCTGGTCATGTGTGCAAAGTAGCAAGTGTACATTTATTTTGAAAGCTTTTCTCTACAGTATTTGGGTTTGTGTTTGTGAGTTTATGATTGAATGAGAGAGAGAGAGAGAGAGAGAGAGAGAGAGCGAGAGAGAGAGAGAGAGAGAGAAGTTTGGGTAAACTGTAAACCTCTGAACATCTGAATGCGCAATCAAATGTTGGAAAATGTATGTGTTTGTTTACCAGTGGAATTATTTTCATGCATTAAATAAAACACAAACAAAAAAAAATATTGTTGACTAGATAATAAATGAACGCATTAAAATACAGTGGTCTGCTCATTAATTTGTGTTTTTAGATTACCCAAGGTTCCTATAATGAAAATACACCCCAAGTATTTTCTCAGTGAAAGCAATAATCATTTGATTCAAAATCAGAGTCCCTCGCATTCTTAAAAAACTGATGCTAGTTAGTCGCTATGTTAGAAGCAAACAGATTTACCTCAAAGATTTTTTGTTAGATTTTAGAATCAATAAGTCATAAAGTTCTGCTGTCTATTATCCCCTTGACTAAAGCTTCACCTACATTAAAACATTTCCACAGAACTCTACTTCAGCAAACCTGGTGTTTACAGCGTACATTTGTTTACAAAGATTTGATCTTATATTATTTTCAAATGTAGGTTTGAAAATGTTTCTTTGATTACTTATTATATCTTAGATCCCTAAATCTGATTTCACATCAAATGCTAATTGTTATACATTGCAAGAAGACTTCATTGCATGAGCAAGAAAAAAAGTCATCAACTTTTATTTGTTAATCTAACATGCATTTAAAAAAAGTTTCAAATTATAATAAAAAAATGTTGGTCTTTATCTTATACTCCAACTAAAAAGAGAAGATAAACTAGTGTGACAACAGTAAAAACAAGTTCCTTTGTTATCTGTGTTAGCTCTGTCTATACTAATTGCATATCTGTTATAAGAAGCAAGCTCATTTTTATTGATGTGTCATGTAGCTATTAGCTATGTTAGAAGAAAACAGATTTACCTCAAAGTTTTTTATTTTTATATATTTAAATTTTTTCACCTCCTTAAATTGCCACCTTATCTTGGTGGAGGAGTTTGTGTGCCTGAATGATCCTAGGAGCTATACTGTCTGTGGCACTTTTAATTGCCCCTGGTAGGGTCTCTGAAGGCAGACTAGCTCTAGGTGACTGGCCAGACAAAGAGTGACTCAGAAGACTTATATGGACAAAAGAAAATTAGGAACTTGGTGTCCATTGCCGAGACGTGAGTTACCTGAACCCCACCCTGGAGCCAGGCCTGGGTGAGGGGCTCATCAGCGAGTGCTTGGTGACCAGGTCTATACCCATGGGGCCCATTCAGGCTCAGCCCGAATGAGCAACATGGGTTTGTCTTCTTGTGGACCCACCACCTGCAGGAGGGGCCATATAAGTCAGGTGTATGAATCCATGTGCAGTTGCCAAAGACAGGGACCTTGGTGCTTTGACCATGGCTTACCTCTCTGGTGGGGAAGGAGCCTGAGCTTGTGCATGAGGTTGAGGGATACCGATTAGTCATAGTTGGGCTCACCTCGTCGCACAGCATGGGCTCTGGACATGATCTCCTTAAGAGGGGCTGGACCTTATTCTACTCTGGAGTTAGCCATGTTGAGAGGCGTTGAGCTGGGGTTGGTCTACTCTTAGCCCCATGACTTAGTGCTTGTGTGTTGGAGTTTTAATGCCCACATGGGTAACGACATTGTGACCTGTAGGGGTGTGATTGGGAGGGCAGCCTCTCTGATCTGAACCCGAGCTGTGTTCTGTTTTTGGACTTCTGTGCTAGTCATAGTTTGTCCATCATGAACACCATGTTTAAATGTAAGGGTGTCTTTAAGTGCACTTGGCACCAGGATGCCCTAAGTCGTAGATCGATGATTGATTTTGTAGTCGTGTCATCTGATTTGTGCCCATTTGTTTTGGATACCAGGGTGAAGAGAGGAGCTGAGCTGTTAACTGATCACCAGGTGGTAGTGAGTTGGATCAGATGGCAGGGGAAGATGCTGGACAGACCTGGTAGACCCAAACGTGGAATGAGGGTTTGCTGGGAACGCCTGGCAGAAGAACCGGTCAGAAAGATCTTCAACTCACACCTCTGGGAGAGCTTTAACAGCATCCCAGCTGAGGCAGGGAACATTGAGTCAGAGTGGGTCATGTTCAGCAACTCAATTGTTGAAGTGACTTCCTTGAGCTGTGGCTGCAAGTTTGTTGGTGCTTCTCATCATGGCCATCCTCAAACTCAGTGGTGGACACCCTGGATTAGGGAGGCTGTCAAGCTGAAGAAGGAGTCCTATCAGTCCTTGTTGGCTGGTGGGAGTTCTTCGGCAGCTGAGGAGTACTGGAGGGCCAAGCGGTCCACAGCCTTTGCTGTTGCTGAGGGAAAAGCTCAGATATGGGAGGAGTTCGGTGAGGCCCTGAATAAGGACTCTTTGTCAGCTCCGAGAAGATTCTGGCAAACCATCAGGCAGCTGAGGGGAAATCAGTGTTTTACTAACACTGTGTTCAGTGAAGGTGAGGTGCTGTTGGACTCAACCAAGGCTGCCTGTTGTCACCGATTCTGTCCATAACTTTTATGGACAGAATTTCTCAGTGCAGCCATGGAGCAGAGGGATTCTGGTTTGGTGGCCTCAGGATTCCATCTTTGCTCTTTGCAGATGATGTGGTCCTGTTGGCGTCATCGTGCTGTGATCTCACTAGAACGGTTTGCAGCTAAGTGTGAAATGGCTGCGATGAGAATCAGCACCTCCATATCTGAGGCCATGGTCCTCAACTGGAAAAGGGTGGCTTGCTCTGTTCAGGTCCAGGGTGAGGTTCTGCCTCAAGTGGAGGAGTTCAAGTTTTTTGGGGTTTTGTTCATCAGTGAGGGAAGAATAGAGCTTGAGATTGGCAGATGAATTGGTGCAGCATCTGCAGTATTGTGGACTCTGTACTGGCCCATAGTGGTGAAGAAGGAGCTGAGCTGTAAGGCAACGCTCTCTGTTTACCAGTCAGTCTACATTCCTGCTCTCACCTATGGTCACAAGCTCTGGGTGGTGACTGAAAGAATGAGATTGTGGATACAGATGGTTGAAATGAGTTTCCTCTGCAGGGTAGCTGGACTCTCCCTTAGAAATTGGGTGAGAAGTTCAGTTATCCGGGAGAGACTCGTGTAGAACTGCTGCTCCTCCACATCAGGAGGTGCCAGTTGAGGTGGTTCAGACATCTGGTAAGGATGCCCACTGGACACCTCCTTAGGGAGGTGCTTTGGATATGTTTGAATGGGAGGAGACCCCAGAAAAGACCCATGACACGCTGGAGAGACTGTCTCTCTGTTGGCCTGGGAATGCCTTGGGGTTCCCCCCAGAAGAGCTAGAAGAGGTGGCTGTAGAAATAGATGTCTGGGCTCAAGCTGCTGCCCCTGCAACCCAACTTCCGAACAAGCATAAGATAAAAGACGGACGGATGGATGGATGGATGGACGGATTCATGGATGGATTTTTTTTATTTCATTTTTTACAATCAGTAAGTCATAAAGTTCTGCTGTCTATTATCCCCTGGACTAGAGCTTCATCTACATTAAAACATTTCCACAGAACCCTACTTCAGCAGACCTGGTGTTTACGGCTTACGTTTGTTTACAAAGATTTGATCTTATATTACTTTCAAATGCAGGTTTGAAAATGTTTGTTCAATTACTCATCATATCTTAGATCGCTAAATATGATTTCACACCAAATACTTATTGTTATACATTGCAAAAATAATCCATGGCATGAGCAAGAAAAATATCATCATGAACTTTTATTTGTTAATCTAACATGCATTTAAATGAAAAAAAAAATCAAATTGTAATATTAAAAAGTTGGTCTTTATCATCTATCCATCCATCCATCCATTATCTTTTACCCGCTTTTTCCATTTTGGGTCGCCATTGCCTATGTCCAGCAATCATTGTGCCAGGGGCGGGGTACACCCTGGACAGGTTGCAAGTCCATCACAGGGCCACATAGAGACAAACGAGACCATTCACTCTCTCACTCACACCTAGGGACAATCTAGAGTTAGAGTTTCCAATCAGCCTAACATGCATGTTTTTGGTCTGTGGGAGGAAACCGGAGTACCCGGAGAAAACCCACGCATGCACAGAGAGAACATGCAAACTCCACCCAGAAAGACCCCGGGACCAGGATTTGAACCGGCAACCTTCTCGCTAAGAGGCAGCAGCTCTACCAGTTGTGCCACTGTGCTGCCCATCTTTATCATCTACTCCAACAAAAAAGAGATGATAAACTAGTGTGGCAGCAGTTCTATAAAAACAAGTTCCTTTGTTATCTGTGTTAGCTCTCGCTCTACTAATTGCATATCTCTTGAAAGAAGCAAGCTCATTTTTTTTGATGTGTCACATTAACTCCCTGAAGTTAGCCTCAAAATGTGCAACAAATTTTAGTACAGGATTTAAAACTGTATGTGTGATAGTATAAGCATGGAATAAAGAATCATTACATGTGATCGAAATCCAACTGAACAAAAATTACTGTATACAAAAAACTTTACTTTGGCATAAATGATTACAGACCTGTTGCCTTGACATCTGTGGTCATGAAATCCTTTGAGCAACTGTTTTTGAAGCATCTGAAGGACATCACAGGTCCCCTGCTGGACCCCCTGCAGTTTTATTAATGAGCAAAAAGGTTGGCAGATGATGCAGCCACTTTGGGACTACACTTCATCCTCAACCTCAACCACCTAGGGACGTATACCAGGATCCTGTTGGTGAATTTCAGCTCATTCTTCAACACCAATCACCTTGACATCCTCCATCAGAAGGTCA